TACATATACATATATATATATATTAGATATGTGACGTTGTAGTGCTGATCTGGCCCGTCATGCGAAAGATTTTCTCAAGACTCAAAGGCATGCTCACAAACAAACCAGGCCCGGGCCCCGGACGTTAAAAATCCCCAAGGCTACAAGAAGGTAGCTGCTGACAAAGCCGAAGATGAAGGGGACTCCGTACGTTGCAGCCAGCAACGATGCGATGGGTGCGCCAGAGTCAGAGTTACAGTCACCGGTAAAGCACCGGAAGGCCGTGAACATCGAATCGGGCACCGTCCGGAACTGGGGCTGCAAACCCAAGTCCTGGAGTTTTGCATCGTTCCCGATGAAGATCGTCGCGAAACCAGCAACAACGTACAGAATGAGAAACAGGAGAAGGAAGGACAACACTAACGTCCACACGCCCGCCAGCAAGCCCTTCACCATCAGACGGAGATCCTGGCTCTGGCTCTGAAGAACTGCTCTGCCAAAGCCAAAAGCTGGACTTTCGCAGATGTGCCACCCCCAAAAAAAGGTCTATAAATACTGCTGCCAAGCTGTCCCGCATCAACCGCAGCCGGAAGACTCTCATGACCTGAGCAATGGAGGATCTGCTCTATGGCACCAAGACATGAAGCATTATAGTATGTTACAGTATGTTATGGTATATGATAGTTAGTCCGTGTTTGACCAGTGATGCAAGACTGCTAGCGCGGCAACTCTGGACCCATCCAAGCAGGTAGAGGGGATTTCAGGAACAGGGGACTCGACCCCAGTATAGATCCTCAATGTGCATTATATAGGATCCTGGTTTGAAGAAAAGAACGGGACCCTTAAGCAGAAAACTCTCGACAGGGAGTTGCCCGAAGCTAACCCGTCAAGGAGATGCTCCCGCTCATTGCCGACCCGTCACACGAACCAAGCGTATCAGTCGGAAAATGCGGATGAGCCAGGTGCCATACAAACCTGTAGCCTCCTTAGATTCCAAGCAACGTTGCTGTTCAGTTGGGATGTGGACTCCAACTCGCCCCTGAAGTTCAATCGATTGCAGGTCAAACCTCTTGAGACCCGCACCTCAACCCTGTCGCCATTGTCAAATGATGAACAATACATGTGTGCCCCGCAACCCTAAAGCCTGCACGTCCTGGTCCTAGCGGTTCTGCCTATTCCGACTAAGGGAATTGAGACAGCTGGCCGCCTTTTCCAGAGTGTCAAGGAGCTTTCAAGTCAAGGTTCGTTGAGACCAATGCGATAAACGAACACGTCCAGGCCAGCTACGATGGCGACACAAATATCAAAAGAGTTCCATAAGCGCTCCTGCCGCCAGGAGGGGACAACTCCTCTCAGCACGGAAACGAAACCTAGAGCTCCCTGAATTTTGCTGCAGCAGGGAGCCTCCCCGTACAGGTAGTCAAAGCACCCCACGAGCCACGATCGCAGCACGATTTCGATCAGCAGCCAGCCAGCAAAAATCGCCTCCACAGCGGTCCACCCAGACCAATCTGAGTACTCCGGATCCTGGCAGAAAAAAGATTGCGGGCATGGCATGTCAAAGTCGGAAGCCGCAGCTGCTGAACGATACTCGCTTTACGTCATGCTGTGAACAACTGCTTTCGCGTGTTCGATGGGTAGCGACGCGATCCCGGTGATGTGGCATTGTTCTGTTCCGGAGTCAAACACCAGCAGGGAGCTCAGAAAACATACGCTTCGAATGCCTCTAGCCGCCGCCGGCGACAAAGACGACAACCACCACCGCCACCATCGCCGCCACCGCCACCAACACCAACAACAAAGCAATCTCGACAAAACACAAGCAGCAGAACCGACAACAGCGGCAGCAGCATCATTTCTTCAGCAGCCACAGGTGACGCAGCAGCAGCATTAAAGATGCAGGTGACGACGATCCCATTGCGATGAAAAGGAGCTGGTCTGAGGACAGGCTGGGAGACGATAAGGATGATGAGAATCAGACCTATGCCGACGAGGATCATGATGACAATGAATGAGCACAGCGGCTGTTGAAACGAAACGGGTAGCAGCAACAGTCATGGTGCTAGGGATCGTTGTGCGACGAGGTCTGAAACATTCTCTCTCCCGAGGCTCCGATTGAAAGCCAATTGCCACCTTGGTCCACAGGGCGAACGCACAACATACTGCGTTACTGCAACATGCACAAGCAACCAATGAAACCACTTCAGACGGGCAGCCGCATTCCCCAAGATCATGATGGCTACAAGGGGCTCGAGGTATGTCAGTGGCTGCAGCGCCTCCAAAAAACATATCAAGGCAGACGAACTGTGCCGTGTCAAAATCCAGAAGCTCACATGGAAAGCTATCCGAACTGCGAGCCACGATCCACGGTTGCACTGCGTCGTATAGTGAGTATAGTGTCTTCTGAACTATGCAGCCACGTCACAAGGTGCAGGGCAAAGGCGAGCGACAACAAAAAAAAACGTGTGTACCAGACTCATCCAGACTCACTGTTGATCAAGCAAAGCCGTGCCCGAGCAAAGTCGCCGACGACTCGTCGAACAAAGCCCGTGCAAATTAAAGCGTCTACCATCAGCGCCTCCTCCGGCGGCGCCTTGGGTCTCAATATGGGGCTATGGGACAGCCAGTCAAGGCTTAATCGCATACGGTAGTCAACACCGGTCCGTAAAACGTGCAGGAACCATGCTTGTTGCCGGGATCTTCTGTTCTGCTTTTGTGCGATCCCCGATGTCATTCACTGACCTTCCGGCTGTGGTGCAACAGTCGCCGGCAAGACGAATCGCGTCCTGGGTCCTAGGGGTTGAAAGGAAAGGGAATCGCCAATTGCGAGTTCGAGGAACGGCCAAGTCATTGATTCTGACGAAGGTGAGTTCGGCAACCAAACGATTCGTGTCACTGGCCAACAAGATCCTGAGCAGATGCGACACTCGACGTCAAAGGTCGTCCATGCGGGACAAAGACAAGAACTTGTATGGATACTCGCATCCAGCTTAACATCCGGAATCTGCCTGAGACTTATCAAAAACCTTGCCATTTCTCTTCAGGGTTCTCCTTCATGGCCTTGTACTGCTTGATGCATCGCGAGTCAAAGATCTTGCGTCGAGCAATGTCCTGGGAACACAGCTCCTACACTTGAAGATCCAGCGACTGCGAGGGTCCAAAAAACCCCACTGTGGGCCGAGGAGGACGAAGGCCAAGCCGAGCCGAGCCACACGGTCTTCAGCCAAAAAGACCCGCATCAAAGCCTCGACCGGTGCCAGCGCCACGCCACTACCACTCAGCGTGTCCAAGGCTGCATTCGGCTGCCCTGAAGGGGTCAGTGCCAGAGCCCGCAAGCAAAACAGCGAAGCTGTTGCTAACTCTTCTTTGGAAGACACATTGCCTTGCAAGGATGAGGGAAGTGACAGCGACATCGACACTTCCACTTCCAGGGATTGCTCCGTCTCCTTGCGCAAAGGCTCTGGGGCTTTGGATCTGGGCTTCTGGGAGATCTATATCCGCTTGCGGTCAATCCGAAGAGGAGTCTGATGCAAAACTGGAATGAGACGCCCCGACCGTGCGACATATCCTGGAGTATACACTTGCCGAAGGGATGACATGATATGTGGATGTGACAGAACCTGCACCCGCACCAAGACTTCATGTTGCTTGCACCTGCTTGCAGTTGCGAGATGATCTCGGACACCTAATCAGCACTGCTGCTGCAAAGTCGTAAGCTATGAGGTTGTGATCAAAATACGGCAGGAATCCATCAAGCTCCCCCAAACAGGAAGACGGAGGTTGCCAACCCAAGGTTTTGAGTGGTTCATGCAGATTCAACGATGTCCTGCAGCAGTTATTGTCTCAGAAACAACCGGGAATCTGAGTTAGTTTGCGAGTTAGCACCCGACGTTTAGGGAAAGAAGAGCAGCTTTGGACCCTTGCATCAAATCACCAAGACAAGGAACTTGCGAAGGCCACACCCAGCCGACCTCGCGGAAACACTCTCCTCGGAAACAAAGACATTCCGGCTTGGCAGCTTGGGGTGTTATTGAGGCTTCAGGGTTTGGGGTCTCGGGTTGAAGCCGCTGCACGACGAGCCTTCCGGACTCCTACAGGCCAGGGGCAACAAACGCAAAGCAGGCTCAAGTCGATGTGTCTCAGGAATGGGTCGGCCTCAGATCAGGTCCCAATCAATGTATCTAAGCGTCGCTTTAAGCTCCTGCTGGATGAATTTCGATGCGGTGCATCGTCATAGCGAAGTTGGATGTAGTCCGCCAACTGATTCCTGACTCGGAAAAATTGGATGAACCACACACGAAACTCGAAACATCTGAGTGGCTAATACCTGGGCAAGCCGGCTTCAGACAGGCGCAGAACAACAAACAGAAAGAAGCTAATCACTGGAACTCGGTGACATCAGTGCTTTCTTGTAGGCCGGTCTAAAGCTCATCTGTAATGACCAACCATGAGCCAAGCATCAGAAAGACGGCAGTGTCCTGTCTCAACAGTGCAAGCAGTGAAGATCTGGCAAGCCCACTGCCGCGAACAGCAGAATCAGGGACATGTCAGAGCTTCCAAGGCCCTTAGGTCCTGCTCGGTATAGCGGGTGAGGCCCAATGAAACCACAGCATCGTGCAAGTCTTCTGCAGACATCATGGCTTGCCCTGTGCGAGCTCCTGACAGTCTGACAGCAGCAGCTGCACATGCACTTTTGACAGCCTCAGAGCTGACACACCCGGAAAATGGCTCCGAGTCGAAGCTGGAGGCGCTGCTGCACCGCGCGCTCTGCCTGCCGCACACAAGCACAGTACACGCCTGGCCAATTGCGGCGTGTCGAACAGTCGTGGCCAGGCTGCGCTACCAGATGGCAAGGATCGTTGCAGGCTCTCCTTTCTGGCAAGGCGTCCCTCAGTCTCAGCACCACATCGCGCTGCCGGGAGCGAACCACTGACTGATGACAGCTGGTAAGCCGCTCGCCGAGCTTTGTGTCGTGCTTTGACGACCAATGGGTGATGTCACCTTTTGTGCCACAGAAGCGGGCCTCTCAGGGCGGAGCCGAGTCAAGGCCCATTGGCACTGCGAAAGCTACGACGAGCCTCGAGGCGGTGGCGTCTGCCGGGCTCTCGCTTGGAAGAAGTGCAGTCCTCTGAGCATCACTGGATGTTGGCTGCGAAGCCCAAACTCTTTCGGATCCCGATCGGACTTGCCGCCTGTCATCGCACAGAACGACGGTGCCAGGATGCTCGGGGTGCCTCGGATCTGTAGCTGCTGGAACACCCTGAACTTCCTGAACTCTTCAAGTATGCCAAAATCCAATGAGCAGGCGCTACGGGGCCACAGCTTAGGGCCTAGGGCCTGAGGTCGTTTGCTCGAAGCATACTTGCCCTACAAGACTATCTTGGGCTGCCTTACGACCTGCACCCCATGCCAACCCCCCCCAACCACCCCTAAACCCAACGCAGTGGGGCTAAACATGACCTGAAGCGCACGGCCGCTGAATCTGGATACACATCCAGCAGCTGCCGCCTGAAGTCCTCCAGGGATCTGTCCAGGAATCGAGCGAAACCATGCTTGTCCATCATCGCTGGGCAGTGGGAAGCTCTGTGTTTTGCCTTCAGGTAACTAACTTTTCATGGCCACAGCTGGCCCAGCTCGTGACAGAATTCCTGCAATGTCGCGCTTGCCTGACTCGGGAGCACGCATTCCCGAGCTTGAGCAAAGCTACTTGGGATTCGCATAGCTCATCCTCTGTGCAAGCAGCATCAAGCAGCGAAGGCAACAGCAGCACGACAATCCGTGATCCCGGTGCTTCGACTGGGCTTGGTCTTCGTAGAACCGAGAGCTCAGGACCCGCACGGGAAGGAAAAGTTCGCCAGGTAGCCTCCAGCTGCTGCAAAGCAGAGGCTTGCACTGGGCACCTAGCCCCCGACCCCACCCAGCACCTGCCTAGGGTCTCCAGCATGGGATGCGAAGTGCCCGAAATAGCCTCGTGAAGATTAGCTGAACATGAAGGTGGGGTGACAACTTTGCCCTGGCCTCCGTGACCACTGAGCTGTGGTGATGCACGTGCGAGGCCTGGAAGACCCATGCCGGCGGGTTGCGCGATGGGTTTTCGGTAAGCAAATGAACCGGCCTTGTACACCGCGGGGGTGTGGAGCCATCGGTGAAAAAGGTAATAGAGCGGCTCCTATAGGAGGGCAGCTCCACCATCGCTGAGATTGCGGCTTCCGAAAACACAACTACACACTTGCAGAGATCCGAGGGGTCGACGACCACGAGATAGTGCGCAAGGAAGCACACCTTTGCTTCACAGATCAAGTTCGTCCGAGGCCTGCCCTGAAGCTGCCATGACCGCAACTCAGCTTTCGCTGCTGCCAAGGATCTGCGATGTTTGACCAGCTCAGCGGCACCGTCTGGGCCGTGCAAATGCGAAGCTGGTCAATCAACGACGGAAATCGCCCTACCGCCACAATAGGTTTACTATAGGACAAGGAGTCTTGGAAGACCGTTCACAGACACAGCTCACACTGTTTCCGTCTGGTTGTTCCCTGGTGCCGAGGTCCCTGCTGTCCTCAGCCATGGCGTCACGGCATCGACCTTGGGAATGCAGAGTCGGGCATCTTCTGCCATGGGATTTGCGTGGTAGGCCCTCATCCCCTGAAGCCTGTGTTCGCAGGCCCAGAGTGGAAGTCTGGATAGCAAGAACCCAAGTTTCCCCCCCAAGTTTCGCCTCTTCAGTGCCTCGGCCGCTTTGGGAGCAGGGCCCGGCCCGGACTTCCCCGCTTTCGCAAACTTTCTGCAACCAGTGTACTGCCAACAACTGCCCCATATGCGGTCCTCATAATTAGACAGTGTGGGGGCCTCTTGGCTTGACGTCGACAAACACCCGCCTAATAGCTCCTCCGAAGCTTCCGAACAAAAGCAGGCTCGGGCTCCCGACCAAGACAAAGGCAGTCGGGGACAGAATGACCGGTCCATCCCAGTCCTCGCGCAGTATCAGATGCAGCCACCAAGCAAGCCATTTGAGCGCAGGCACCCGTCTGTAACGATGATGACACAAGAAAAACCCTGCACAAGTCCAGCTCGCGCTCGTGCTGCTCTGCGGGTGGATTCGTCCTATGGATGCGCACCTGCCACCGGTTGCTAAGAGGAGGATAACTGCAACCGAAGCACAGTCTTCTATGGGACAGTGGCCCTTCAACTGCACAGCTGTTTTGACACATCGAGTCTGTCTTGTTGCCATCTGAGCTGGAGAAGTAAAACTAATCAATTCATCTCTGTTCAATCTTGGGCTGGAACCGGCTCAGCAAAAGTGTCCAACTTTGACAGAGCGGTGAACAGCAGATTCACCTCTAGTCTCTCAACTGATGCACGGAGACACACAACGTGACACTATTGTGCTGCTGAAAGCCGGCATCCACGAGAGCCGAGATCAACTAAGATCTCGCGCGAGATAACGCAGCAGAGTGCCGGCGATGAGCATCGGCCTGGGCATGAGGGGATAAATCTGGCCTTGTCCTTTGGAAAGGTTCTGCAAACCTGGCCTCAACACTCAACTGCAACCGCAATGGCTATCACTCAAGCAAAAGACAACCGAAGAAAAGAATTGTTGGAGCTTTGCATCGGCACTCGCCGACAAGATGCAGAAACTGTGGCCCCTGCAGCATGTGAGTGGCACCCACCTGGACCGCCAGCACCTCGTGTTTCGGAGTGGCAATTTCGGCGATCTGCCATCTTCAGAAACTAAGTCACTTGTGCAGAACACTTCTCGGATGCAAGACCAAGGTCAGTGCATATGTGGCCGGATAGACCAGGTATCCTGAGATGCACCGGTCGAGACAAATGTTAATGATAAACTTGATGCCTGCTGTTCAAAGTCTCTAGCCTCAAGCCTTCAGTGCCCCGCAACCCCTCACAACAGATCAGTGAAATAAAAGCCGTCTTTTCTAGACGGACCTGCCGCCTTCTCACTCTCCTGTTTCAACCAGGCAGCGCCCCCACCAAGTGGAGGATTGGGATCCTCAAACCACGCAGATCTACACCCCCTCAACGACGGTGCGTACCGAGGAGCCCTGGCCGTAAGCAAACTACAGCACATGTGATGCGAATTTCTCCTCTAAACATGTTGAACATGAGCGCGGTGAGCACGATCACCGTGACGGAAACCTGCCATCCAGCCGGGCAAGCTGAAGAGTCGGGACATAGCGGGACGGGACGGCCTGCAACGCCGCGAAAGCCATGCTGAAACAGAAAAGTTGGTCACGCGACCAATGGCTCGAGCAAGTGTATAAATGATTTTCGGGACAGTGCTGACCTCTGGCTGCTGAGGCTCGTCAGACTCTGCACTTTTGCTGATCTCAGACGATGCAAATGTCGTACCGGTAGCAAGATAGGATCACACAGTGTGCACCATGCAGAAGTCTAGTTTGGCACAACTTCGATGCACTGGACGTGTGTAAAAAGGCCATAAGAATGTCTCCCGAACACTCACCTGCGAAGCCTGGAGCAGCGGCGATACGTGCAGCATCATCGCACATCCAACACAGAGCTCCGCCAACACAGATCGTTCAGCCGGCACGGCTGAACCGGGAAACTTCGGATGAAGCCTGAGGCAGAGCGACGCACCTCGTCCTTCGGCATGGGTCCAATTTCCACGAAGGTGTTCTTCACCCTTCCGAGCCGAAGCATGCACTTAGCACAAAGCCCCCTGCATTTGTCTGGACTGTGAGTTGATGGTGCGAAGCGTAAATCTGGGAGGTGGCTTGGGAGTTGGGAACATTTTGCCTCGAGCCCTGACTTGGGTAGATAGGCCCCCATCAGCTGTTAGTGCTGCTGATTCGATTACGACTTCTGTGGTACATCTGCAATTTTGCTGGCTGATTGTTGTTGTCAATGCTGCTATCATATGGTCCCTGATCGTGGCTGCTTCTTTCAGCTGCACCGTCGTCTACAAGCATACAAGCAGCCCTTCCAAGAAATGTCGTTTTGTAGGCCCGCACTCTCGCAGCCAGCCGGCGCGCAGCTTGCTTGCTGCACAGCAAGCGGCGTTGTGGAACACATGTCCTAAGCATGGAGGTATTCTTTGGTATTTGGTAAAGTCATGGAAGGCCCGCGCGATCGGTGTTGAACGCTGGATTGAAAGTGTCGGGATTTAAAAAAAAATCCCTTCCCGTTTGCACGCGCATCCTCCGTGAAATCGACATCGAAAATCAAGCCGCTCCGCCGGGCTCCACCTACCACTGTAGCATCAGTACCAGCTGGCTGACGGTTTCAGTCCAAGCCAGTGAATCCGGGCAGCCACGCAGGAAGCAAGGCATAATGATAATGCTTCGTAAGGCCTTTTGAAAATGAGTGCTATTGGTGCACACCAGATCAAAAAGACGTCAAACGACGGTGTTGCAGGATTTCCGTCGGAGGCGGCCAACCCATGCCCGCCCCCGGTCTGCCCAATCGCTTGCACCGCCGCGGCATTCCGAGATTCAAATAAGACGTGCACCTAATTCGGGTACACCCCAGCCGAGGATGCCGAGAGACCAGCAGTCCCTTAAAACTTTGAAGTTTTGACTCCGCAGTGCTCCGCAACTCTTTAAGTCCACTCTTGGCTCCTCCGAGGGATGTGGTTAATGCTTTCGAGTACATAAATTTACACTGCCACCTTTGACAGGCAGCAAAACAGAAGCGCAGACTGAAACTTTGTCTCGTGCATTTGTAGCTGAGAGTCAGATAGCCATGCAAGGAATCCATGTTAAGTCCTTTCAGTAACAGCAGCCATCCGGCTGTCACTCTGCTCTACACGTACCAGCAAGCGTAGGGCAAGGAGAGATTCTGTGCCGGACCTCCATCTGTGCTTAGCGCTGCTCAGAATGTGCTCAGAGACAGCGCCCAAAGCTTTTGGCAAACAACTCGGTCATCGACGCCTCAGGCTGGCTGGACCGCGAAAGCGGTGTAAGCAGTACTTGAGAGGCTTGTAGCACTGGGTAGCCATAGCATTTAGGAAGGAGGGAGAAGTAGAGGCTGGGTATCACTGCGATTTGCTTTCCGATCTTTCGCAATCCGAGAAGAGCAAGGTCTTCACTCAGGCAAGCTGCACGGTGCGAACAGCGCAAGAAGCACCTGCACCGACACGAGACAAGCTTAGACCGCTGTTGGCCTGGAGCGGCGAGCACTCTCAATTCTGAGAGCACTGAACACTATTCCGGGACTGTGCCGGCCACACTGAACATCCGTTTAGCTGCACGCCTGGCGAATGCCTCGTTCCTGTCAGGAAGCTCCAGTCGATTGCAGATACAAAGGGCATGGCACGCTTACTACAATGTGCGAACGTCCTCTGACACGGCCCAGAGTCCACGATGTTCGGTGAGCAAGTCCTCAACATCTTGCGGAATCCAGGCCACCTGACGACAACGCCACTGGGTCTTGGGACGGTGGCGGTGCACGAATGGCGCAATTCGGTCCCACCTGATCACTAGGTGAGGACCAAGAGCACTCCAGTCCCGAGCTCGCTTTGATGCAAGAGTTCCTGAGTCTGACTTAGTTCTGTGCAAATCAAGGCCATGGCTGTAATTTGTCGTGGCATGCATTTAAGGTTCTGCGCCCCTCCTGTGCCATAGCTCGGTAATCGGCCAATGGAGGCATTGTGGTAAGTGCCCACATTCTGCACTGGTTGAACCTGAAGCCTACCTGCCAGGATTGAGGCTGCGGCGTGCCCACAAGGACCCAAACGTCCAACTGCCTAGCGGCCATCAGGACGCTAAAGTGCAACATGCTTTCATGCTCCAACTTGATGATGTGCAGCTACGTACTAGCAAGGCAGGTCGACAAAGGGCCTGCCATTCAAAATCAATCCCAGGAAAGCCAGTGCAAACGCACGCCAGTCACCTGGACGTCATCAGACCAGTTGACTCTTTGCTTGCCTCTTGCTTCGTACATGGCGGAAAGTCCGCTTTAGCCAATCAGCCAGCAAAATTCAGGCCGCGGCGTCACACTAATACTAACATCACGCTAAGATGCGCAACGCCGCAAGGATTCTGCAGGCGGGGAACGATTGCGACTCCATCGACAGTCGTAGAGGCTTCCAATTTCGCTCAGCCAGTGATCGGCTCCTGGAGTCGCGTCTGAAGCCCTAGACCCTAGATCGCGCCGCGTCTCTACTGTCTGAGACAAGGACGGGTAACGCTGCCGAGGTCGATCAGCTTGTAGCTGTCCTACAGTGCACAAAGCAGAGCATGGGCATAAACTGTCTTGCATCAGGATCAGGACATGTTCAGTGTCGATTCGGGCGAACTCTCGCTTCCAATGACAGGGCAATCCAAGCTTCATTGTTCATGTGTCGAAGAATGTTTCCGTCGTGCATGTCGTTGTAGACCTTCGCCGCTGGGGCTGATTCACGACAGCATGTCATACCCTCCACCACCCGATTGTGATTACGAATTCTTTCCTGCTGCAAGGTTAGTCTGTCTTACTCAATCAGTCAGATGCCAGTAGCATGTCGAATCTGCAGCTCAACAAACCAGCAGATTACTCACCTGCTTAGCAATCGCAAGGACGAAGCGGTCGCAGTATAGTTTGGCAGGCGACAACTTGCACGTGCTTTCTCAGCCTATTCCAGGCAATGTCTAGTGTTTCGCACAACCGCCACCAGACTGGCCTGGGGGCAGGCCAGGTTGGGCGGTTTCAACCCTCGACCCCTCTAAGATCTTTCTGAAGTGTCTTTTGCCAATTTTCATACTCACAGGTTCCCGCAAGCAGCAAAGGGACATATCCGTCGCTGTGAATTCGCCGAAGGACGTTGGCGACCTCATTGTTCGCCATCTTTAGCCCTAATCAGCCATGCATTGTTGGAGCTGAGCTGCAGGTAGCAAGCTGCTCGCAGCCCTTTGAGGGGTGTAATGGACCTTCGACAAGACAGCGGATGAAAAACTTGCCAAGTAGTGTTCGGCGCACAGCGGTTTGGCCTTCTTGGGGCAAACTCGAGCCGAAGCCCAAACTAGAACCCTCAATAACGGAAAGGAGGAAAGCCCTTCTCGTTCCACGTTTGCAGTTGAAACGAAAAGTCGAGTGAACAAATCGAAAACATCAATCTGGCGAGTAGCGAGGCCATGTCGGATATCTTGCAAAATACAAGCCTCGCACGGAGAAATTGGATGAACGACAGTGGGTTTTTGAGAAGGCTCTTCCCGGCCTTCTCCGCGTCTCCCGTGCCTCGCCCAAGCTGCTTGCCCAGTCGCTCTTCTACGATCGCCTTCGCAGACAAAGTGGCACCATCGAGATTCCCCGCGACAAAGTTTCTTAAGATAGAATCCGGAAAGCTGTCAGCTCTGCGCTGTTCCATCTGACAGGCAAACTGCGCAGCTGGTGCTTCCTATAAATAGCTCACCCACGAGTGCGTGGAGCCCACAAGACAAGCAAACCTCACGTTCAGACCTACTGACATTTGGAAACATTGGGTCCGGGTCACCTGCGGCACACCGTTGTTCCAGACCACTTTCCTCGGTTCTCCGTCAAGTTGCCCAGGGCTGAGTGTTGCCACGCCATGTCACTGTGTCCAGTTCCTTCTCTTGCCTGGGCACTGTAGCTGCACCAATCCCGCTTCACCGTACCAGCGTGCCAGATACTCGATCTCCAAGATCATGTCCTCTTGGGCATGCATTCCAATACACTCTCAAGAAGGCTTGCTCCCAGTATATCCAGCATTCTTTGTCCAAGGCTCTTTGCGCATTTCATCCCCATTCCTGGGTTAGTGTCCATGTCTGAGCACTCACATGGCGAGCATGTTTCAGACGGAGAATCGTCACAAACCTTGCTGACATACACTAGTCACTAGTTGGGTGCATCTGAGAAGCTCCACGGTGAGCAGCCGCCTGCCATCCTGGACACACATGGACACACCATACACTCGCAAACGGATGCACAAACAATATCCATCAGGACAGTTCAGCCAGCGAGCCATCTGGGACACAATGCGCACCAAGCGCGTGCGACCGGCCTTCAGACAGGGTGGCACAATCTGTGGTGGTTCGTGGTACCTGGTAGATACCTTAAGATCTCATGATGCAAGCGAGGTCGGGTCTGCTGATCATCTGGCATTCTGATGCGTACAACTACACGCATGATCAGTCGTGCAGAGCTGACCACGTTCAGCTCGCCCGCCTGGCCCACGACTTCCAGCTCCCACTGCTGGTTGCGACCGCCGTTAGCTGCGTAGGCACACACAGCTGCACCTTTCCACACGCTCTTCTTATGTATAATGGCACAGCTTCTCAGGCACATGCACGAGCATGGATAGACATTCATACTTCTCACATGCCAACACTATGCTCAGGTCCTCAGAATTCTAAGCTCAGCCACGGTCCTGAGCTGCGGGCTGTTTGCATCCTGTGCACCCACCACATCGATGCAGAACTTCAGCGGAATGGCTTGATCGCCCCTCGCACTTCAGAACATGCGGGCGGTTGTTGGGCCGTAGGACAGCAGTGTGGAGATCTGTTCACTCTCTTGCTACAAACTTCTATTTCCCGATTGCAAATTCCTGACATGCTCCGAACCTGGCAAAGCACATCGCATGCCCAAAACAGGCCCGAGAAGGATGCCAACAACCCCACACGACACAACAATAGAATTTGGGCTGAAGTGCGGCATGCAGTCCAGCTTGCTTGTGATGCGTCTGTCGTCATCAACCTGCACGGATTTTGCAGTCATTCCGTGATTCATGGACTTGCTAAGACTTTCACAGTGAGACGCCTCTCTGCAATGCTTCAGAGTCTGTCAACCCCGAGCATGTTTGCCCTCTCGATCCGTAGGTTTCCAGTGAAGCCTTCTGGCATTCAGGACGCACTTGGTGCATCACGTCCTTGGGTGGGTCGCTCTTCTGAGACGAATCCCACCAATTTTCACACACTTTCGCAGCAGCGGCAATGCAACAAAGGTCGTTCGAAGGCGCGCCTTCCACTTCTGTCTGTCGCCACCGGAATACTCCGAGAGCCTGCGCTGGCTGGAAAGCTTCAAGACTTTCGGCGCATCCAAGAGTGCAGAGGCGTTTGCACAGAGAGTCGCCGCCTGAGTGAGGCGGCGCTGTGCCCGGGGCCGCCTCCGCGAATCTCCAACACCTGCAGCCGCAAGACGAAACAAGCTGGAGACTTGGTTGGACAAGGGGAACGTTTGGGAGCTCGGCGCTTGGAAGAAAGTCATCTTGGAAAGGGCCCAACATTCGCCGTTGAATAGATAGAACCGCACCTGCATTCCCGAGGATCGATTGCAGAGATGGAAGTAGGCACCGTCGTCTTTGCAGGGTATGCAAAGCCAGAGCCTCGATAATCAGCAGCAGTGCGCTACAATGTTGCGATATGCTTGCAAAAGCTGCAAAAAAAAAACCCTCACCAAACTTAAGCCAAAACACTCAACATTTCTCAACACAGGCCTCTCTCTTGCCCCGCAGGCACCGATTCACCCTAGTCTGCATCCTAGTAATACGGAATGGAGGCCAACTGTAACCTAAGCTGAAGCCTTCATCGAACTTGGGTAAGCATGTGCAACTCGGGTAAGCACTTGCTTTGACACTCTCAAATCTTGCGGCTTTTGCGCACAGTTCGTGGTTGTGAAGGTCTGCTGCCTTTCCGCTGTGCGCAAACCTTAAATCACCCAAGTCTCTGGTCCCGCTCGGCGGTACTCGGCATCTTGGCCGTGCTCTCCGGTTGAACGAAATCCTGCATCCATCCGCTTGTCTGCACAGATGCCCTACATTCCCTCACACTGCTAGTGTCTCTGTAAAACTCATCTTCGTTCCTTTGCAGATTTTCTGCCTCAGAGTCGGAAAACTGAAAACTTCGTTTTGCTCTTTGAGGTGTCACCCTCTAAAGCACCACGCTGTCCTTCAGGCAGGGTTTGCTGAAGGGCGGCCTTGGCGAAACGCGGCACGGGAAGAGTCCTTCATGATCGTCTTTACCACACACCTGCTGGCTAGTCCTAATATCCGGCCATCCTTGCGCAAAGCGAGGCCCATAAGGGGCACGGACAAACCAAGTGCAGCAGTTACCACCCAAAAACCCCAAAGCCCTATCCCCCCTCTCACAAAAGGCATACTGTTGCTGATATAAATCCTGCATTACCTAAGGACCCTAACCTAGGGGAATTATGGTACATTACTTATTATCGGTAAAGCAAGATTTATGCCATCAACCGTAGTTCGTGCTGACATAAACAGAAGAGGCTTCGATGCATGCGCTTTCCATTTCTCTCTTCCTTGCGCAACGAGGTAACGGCAGCCCCAATGCCGCTCATTATACAAAGGGGTCGCGAGAGGTGACCATAAGCTGTTAAACCCAAATGGCCACTGGCTTTCATTGTGTTTTTGCAGGCATTTCTAACGGGTTTACAAGGACTTAAAAGTTTCATAAGGGTTGGCAAAGGCTTTGTGTAAATGCAGGCACACCAACATCTTGAAAAGACGAAAAACTTAAACTGTCGTGCTGGTCTTCTGCTGGCAAGGCACAGCTTCATCACAGATGGGCGCCACCTGCCGCTTTCAAGCTTGTCTTGTGCTGCAACTCAGCTGGCGTCAGTCACAGCAGTTCAGGCAACCGGACGACCTCGCTAAGCCGCTACAAAGCGGGGGCGAGATCCGCATGGAGAGTCCCGCGCCTTCCATCCGAACCCTGAAGCTCAACGTCGTAGACCTCAGGGCAAGGAACATCTTCTCAAAGCTACCAGAAGCCTCAGGCTGCGGGCCATGGTTATGAGATGAAGTCAAAGTGGCGCTTCCCTGGTAGCCATTGAATAGACAACGCTGATCCAGGTCCTCGTCCTGCATCACCAGGCTTGCAAGTGAAAATCGCTGGCTTGCTTTGTCGAGTCTAGCACAAAGAAGAAGCAAACCGGCAAAAGAGAGGCGGTTTTAACAATGAGAAGCTTCAGACTCTTCGAGAGACATCAAAAGACCCTGCTGCCCCTCTAACCTACAGGAATTGCTGGGACCCTCTTGCCTGCACAGGCCATACACGCGCGTCTCGCAAACTTGGCACCACCAGGGAGGCCAACCATCTCTCCTGGATTGACTTCCTTCTTCTTCTCCCTTTTCTGTCCAGTACTGTATGGCGGTGTCTCAGGCGTTTCGGGCTTTCAGTTGTTGAGACTACCGAGGGCATCCTGAAACTCTGCCCTGTGACGATCAACTGAAGGCCAGAACCTTTCCAGACTTCTCGCAAGTGCTGAAACAGCTGGCAAGTCACCTAATTGAATCTGCATTTAAGCTTTTCTCGTTTGATGAACCGGCCACACTACAACAACCCATCAAACGGCTTCGATTCTTCTTCGAAGACATATGTAATCGAAACTGAGCCAAGGCGCTCGCGCTGTTGCCGATACATCTCTTGGCAGCCGAGGGTCCCTCGTCAGAAATTCTTGCTACCGCTCACGGGTTCACGAGTATTGAAGCCGGATGGGGCGACCGGGGCTGAGCAGAAACATCTGACGGCCGCAAGGCAGGTCTATGATTGAAAACGAGAAGTCAGCAGCCTCTATTCCGAAGTCAGACTGTTCGACATGTTTAGGACTTAGGAGAGATGTATTTTGTTCGACAAGATCTTTCGATATGTAGCAGTCCTGGTAACAGCGTGGATGCTAGGGGCAAGTGCGCGAAGAAACCGTGCAGAACTCGACATCTCGCCTCCACCTCCGCCTACAGCCTACACCCATGCAGCAGGCAAATGACGTGGCCTGACTTGGTCCGCGGATTTCGCAAGACAGTCGACGTCCTCCAGGAGGCTCCTGAAAAGCTGGGGATTCCATATCTAGTCGAGACATGTCAGGACATGTCTCGCACTCGTCAAAACCGCAACCGAGTCTTTCATTGCACTGGAAGCCAGACAGTGACGAGAGGCGGCCAGAACAGAGATTAAGACTTGTCGCCTGGGCAGAACTAAAGCAGATTGACAATTTCCGTTTAGGGGTCTTCAGGGGAGCTCATCTCCACAATCGCACCCTTTCTTCATCCAACTCAATGATAAGACCCACCAGAATCTGCCAGCGCGCCGCGGGACAGCCCTGGTACATTGTACATCTCGGCTTCTTCATGTGGCTTGGAATTACGATCTGTATCGACATCGAAAGTTTCCCCTATCATCCAAAAAAGACTCCTCCTTTTCGCCACTTGAAGGGCTCTGGGCTCTGCCCTACACGAAGAACAACAACAGTGACAGGATGCTAGCCATCAAGTTACAAGTAGCAAGGGAGTAGGAATGCCAACGTGGTGATGGATCAAAGGCAGGCACAGCCGAAGTGCTCTTAAACATTTGTCAGGAAAAGACCGGGCATTCTGTTCATGATACAATGACATGGTGACAATAGTACCATGCATGAGCATACTACACATTTCGTATATAAGCTAGAGTGATACTGCCAGAAGTGTGAGAAAGACCTATCGCGCACATGTTTAGACACTACTGGCAAACTCATCAGTCCATTCAACCAACATGTTGTTCCAATTGTTCTAAATCGTGCTCACGCTCCTGAGAGTAATGCAGAAACATTCAGCAGAAAGGTCCACAGACGGAAGCAAAACTAAGTCCCACTGGTAGCAGTTGACTGAAATCTATCTACCATCTAGCTATCCATCCATCTAAATGTCCACATGCCTGTCTGCAGATATGATATTTAATTTCATATACGCTCGTAAATAAATACATACCTGCATAGGTACATGCGTACGTAGGTACATACCTACATACATACGTACATACAAACGTCATGCACACGTATGTACATACATGCATGCATGCAAGCTTGCATGCTTGACTACATGCTTGCAAAGACCAAGATACATACATATGCACATGCCTACCTGCCTACCTGCCTGTACCTATGCATGTGCATGCGTACATACAGTTACATATTTCTACACAGATACACGTACACATACCACTACTACTCTTTCGAAAAAGCATACTCACATATATATATATATATACATATATATATATACATACACTTCGCACGAACACACACGTACTGTGTGTCTATGTATGTATGTACACTTATGCATATACATATACATATATACTGCAACAAGTTATGTATGTGCATGTGCACACACAGGGTTCATGAAGTGCTGACTAGAAGTGCACCAGGGCTTACACATGGGTCCCACAGGGTCCTCACAACGCGCCGCCGCGCTGCCTCCTTCCAGGAGGGCGTAGTTGGATCCAGAGACTTGGAATGCTGCCTGGAGCAGGCAAGGTGAAAGTCCCTTCATAGGTAGACCGGTCGATGGATAGATGGATCACAAATAGATGGATAGATGGGTAAATAGATGGATTGGTATCTCTGTGCCTTGATACATAGACGATACATGTGAAAAACGTATGGAATCGAAGATTGGGGCTCTGCTACAATTTCTCATCGTCTGATCTATCGCCAATCATCTTGTGAAATGCGACATGGAAACGCTTTATGCACGCTTTCATATCTGCACAAGTGCAGGAAGCTTGGGACGCAAACCTACATTATAACATGCATAACAAACCTACAGTATAACATGCATAGTATGAAAATGCTTTTCAGCATGCACATATCTACAGACCCAAATGCATATGTATGTGTATGCATATCTATACTCATATGTATCACAGTCTGTATATACACACACATACGCAGTACTTTTCTTGTCTAGACTAGAGCATACATTATACAGGCAGAAAAGGAAACCGAGTTGCATGCCTGCTCATATTGTTACACATACCGTGTAATCAAAAAATGCTGACATTGCCTATCATTGCCTCGTGACATCTTACATATTGCTTTGCAGTACCTGACTAGTGTAGTGCATATATGTCCATGTGCATATCAGTATGAAACCTGGCATCTGACACTGGCGATACCGGTAGCAGTAGATGCAGTAGTCGTGGAAATGCTAGTAGCAGTCGACTTGAGGTAATAAAGTCAATAACACAAATACTGAGATGTTTCAAAGCAACCTCGCGTTGAGGGCTTGCTCAAGTGGCAAGCCCTGATGCAAAAGCAGCAGACAAGCGGCGTCACAGCGAGCGGGCTGCTGTCCAGTCGTTGATACTTGGCTCTGGATCTGGACCGAAGGCCTGCATGGCTCGGGTCTTGCATGGCAGGGGCCGTGAACGACATCTTCTGCCAAGGCGCGAGGGGTGCAGGAGCGTTTCTCCTCGCGCAGACACACACGATGGGTAGATCGAAAGTCGACAGAAAGGGACTTAACAGGCAAAGCTAATCGACTGCTTGCAACCCAGTCACTTTCACGCACCTTGCATTGCATGGGCTTCAGCGCAACGCTTATAGGGTTCATTGTAGCCGATGCATGATTTGCACACCAGAAAGGCGGATTTGCGCACTAGCAAGCGCCGGTTCTCGCAGTGGGCCGACGGATTCGCGCACATCGCACCCCGATTCGCTTACGGACAACTCGCGCACCCTCGATTCGCGCTCCTGTCCAATTCGTGCCGCAGATTCGCGCACCAGCCCGAGTCAAGCACCGTGGCTTCGGTGCTTGGCCCTTGTGCGTTCCCTTGGGCTCGGGGTTCAATAAATGTCAACAAACCGCCATCGACTGATGAGGGGGGTTGCTTTCGAGGAATGTGACGGAATCGGTGCTTGAATCGTGGGTGATTGAATCGCGCATTCGCGGTGCTCGAGTCAAGCTAGAGTTGGGCGTTGGGTTCTCGAATCGCACGTGCTTGGGTCTCAACTGCTTGAATCGAGCCTGGTGCTCGAAGCGGGGGTTCTATGGTTCAGGCTTGAGTCCTTCCCTCACACACAAACAGTCACCACAAACATACCCACAAGAAATTGCACCAGAACTTTGTCATTTTTGGGTGTTTGTCCCGATCACAGTGGATGTTTTGGAGCTTCATGACATGCACAAAGTTTGTTCGTAGGTGTTTGAAGCGCACGAATGTCTCGACACCTTGAAAGTACATATGCTCAAGTCCTGTGGCCCCCCAACGCATCTGGAGTGGATTTGGGGCTGTATAGCCCGCCCATGGGCTGTATAGCATGTATAGCCTGATATCCCCGTCCACCACACAGGGCTCTGCCTCCCCACCCCCGGGAAGAGAGAAGGGAGAGGAGGGAGAGAGGAGGGAGAGAAGGGAGAGAGGGAGTGGGGGAGAGAGAAGGGAGAGTAGGAGGGAGAGAGGAGGGAGAGAGGAGGGAAAGAGGAGTGAGAGACGAGGGAGAGATCAGGCATCGAGGAGGGAGGGAGGAAAGCAGGTTTGACGAGAATTGCTGATCGAAAACAGCTTTTGGGGGGAGGGGGGGAATTTCGATCGACTAGTCTGGTGCTGCGTTTTGCCTACCTGTTGCATGTAAATGCCATTATTTGACTGTTAGTGATCGGGGGATGGACTCAAGTTCAGGCTTTAGCATTCGACTCTGTGCTCGCATCTAGGAGTTAGCAGTCAAAAAAAAAGCTCTACATGAGAAATCCGGAGCCAGGGCGCAAATCATCGCCGTGGCCACGACCTTGCCATCTCGGCACCGGGGCGATCCAGGGAATGAATCCTGCACGTAAGAGCACTCCCGGCTGACCGGCTCTGCTGAGATCACTGAGAATAGTACCGGAATGACAGGCCTAGCGGCATAACTGCCACTACAGGTGATATCTATTCAAGTGCTTTACGAACCAACAAAGGAGGACCCCAGATTGGCCGCACATCGAGCTAAGGCAGTCTCCTCTCACTGGCCCGGCGCCATGTAAGCTGCACATCAAACTAACTCTCCCGTTTCCTGAAGCCTCGAAGCCTAACACTTTGAGCTTGTAAAGGCCGCAGCGGATAAAAGCCCACGGTCGGCAAACAAACCGAGGGAGGGTTTCTACAATCCTGGGCTCGCTCAACAAGTACATGGAGTCGGGAATCTCTCTTCATCCGCATGCAGCTTCGCAAGTGAGCTCAGAGGATTGATGGAGCACAAGAGCGGTGTGAACTTGATTTGAAGAGAATGCCACATCCAACAAGCCAGACCGTTGCCTGTAGGCGACATCCTCTTTCACACCTCTTGGGCTATGTGCCTGTCACAGTAGCAGGAACCGATCTCGTTAAAGGCTGGCGATGGCTTGAGATATTCACGGCTTCAGGCTTGCTCAGCTTCGGCTTTCCAGAAAAGGCAGTGGTCAGGGCTGCCTTCCATATCTGCGCTGCAAAGGGCACAGCTAAACTTGTCAAGTTCTTACTCTGCGCTAGATGTCGCCCACAAGTGTCCTACACGTCCAGCCTGTACTTTTACGACCTATCGGCCTGGAGCACACCGGCACAGGAAACAGCATGTGTCTTGTAGACTTCCACAGAAGACTCCCTACACCAATGGCATGCTTGGGTGATGGAAATCTAGGTCCCAGACAGTTGAGTCCGCACAGACAGGACCCATGTCAACTGCACCTGACAATCGTGGTAGCGACGGGGACGATAAGAGCCTACATGAAGAGTGCTTGTTCGGTTTCTGCAAAAAAATCGCCGGAAGCGAATTTTGCAAATCGCAGGCCTTTCCCAAGCTTAGCCTGGTCCCTCTTATCTTGCTGTGGAGAAGCCCAAAGTTTCAAAGGGATATCGGAAAGGTATTGAGACAACTCCGAATAGATCATCAATACCCACCTAACCCGGATTCTTAGTCGGGGTCTGGATTCTACTTTCTAGGGATTTAGAACCTGGCTTTCTCACCAGACTGCTACGGTCACTACAGACACAAAGTTGCAACAAGCGAGCGTCGAACCTTTCCGAGGACAGGTGGGGCACCAGAGAGTCTCCTATTCTGCACTCCTTGGGCTTAACGCGGCTGCAGGATTTCAGCATGAACTTTCTGGCCAAGCAACACTTCAATACAGCTTGTAACTCTATGAAGCAGCTGCACTGCCAAGCTCTCACGGTACATAAGACAGTTTTCGGCCACGTGTTAATCCGAGACCAAGTTGGTGAGAGGTGCCTTTGCTGCCCTTTTGGCGGCGCAACTTTGGCGCACGCGCTGGACCCATCCCCCTGCGACCTTCAGCTTCGATATCGACTAGCGTGGCGGCTGACGATCTTGGTCGTGGCGTGGTAAGGGCCGTGGCCCTTCAGGCTAAACCTCAGGACCATGTCTGCTGTCCGGCGCATATGCTTTCAATTAAAGGGATGATGGAGCATCCTCATTTTGCTTCGTCGTACACAGAGTGGAGCAAGTTTGCAGCAAGTCTTCGAAACCACGAAGGAGATCGGAACATAGTGTTTGTGTGTTCTGTAGGATGAAGTGCCCGACCGCTTAGCCTCTTTGCCAAGTCGCTCGTAGGCTCGCTGAATCCACTTGCCAGCCTCCTCTGTGCATCCCATGGAGAGGCACGACGTGTAAGCCTGCATTCAGTTGCAGAGGTCAAAGTCGGATCGACTGATTGATGCAGGCGTACCCTTGCTTTTGGTGTGGTCATAGCACTCCTGCACTCTAGCTCGGGTGGTTGTGGTGGTTGTGGTTGTGGTGGTTGTGGTGGTTGTGGTGGTTGTGGTGGTGGTGGTTGTGGTGGTTGTGGTGGCGTGCTGGGGTGTGCGGGGGTGCTGGGGTGCTGGCGTGCTGGGGTGCTGGGGTGCTGGGGTGCTGGGGTGCTGGTGTGCTGGGGTGCTGGGGTTCTTGGGCTGGGGGGCGTGCTGGGGGGGTGCTGGGGGTGCTGGAGTGCTGGGGTGCTAGGGTGCTGGGGGGGTGCTGGGGTGCTGGGGCGCTGGTGCTGGCGCTGGTGCTGGTTGGCTGAGTACGAGATGGTCTCATGGGGCACAACAATGTGGAACCCTCACTGCTTGTCAGCCAACTCTACGCTAGCTTTTCTCGTTGACATCGTCGAGTCAGGGGCAAAGATATCTCTGTAACATGTCATGTCATTGTGCTGCAAACAGCAGCAGCAAACGCAGAGAAAGAAGACTTGCTCACATAACATCTACATCATGCTGCAAGTGTCGCAGCAGAGTCACCGTACGTGGACGCCCTGCCTGGTAGGCTGCTACCTCCCGGAAGCAAGAGATGTTCAGCCCCTGAGCGGAAACGACTTCTTTGAGTGCTTGGCTTTCTTTCTGTCCCTGGAGCCTCCGCGTCCGAGAGTTCGAAGCTTTCCCGAATTAGGCCAAGTGCCTGCACAGCGCGATCCGACCGGCAAAGTCATCTTCACGAAAACAAGGCCCCTGCTCTCTGTAGCCATGCGCTTGCTTTGGCGATCACCAGAAAAGTGCACGTGTCAAACTTAGGCATACGGCAAAACTCCTGCATGCCCTTCTCATGCAAGAGACAAAATTGACAGGCAAGGCAGCTCGACATCGAACATTGGTGCAGACAACCTTGTCAAGGTTCCATGCATGACACTGATTAGAATAGAACAGAAATTGCTTTTGGCAGACCCTATGTCCCTATGTGGACCTTCCAGCTCGTTTCCTTCCAGTCAGAAAGCCTAAAAATCCTGAAATCTGGAAGCCTCGAAGCTTCTGCCTTGGTGTGAGACGGTGTCAGATGGCCAAACTCCAAAGGTCTAGCATGTCCTCTCATGGCGGCCTGCTCGGGATCCTCGCAGCTGGGTATCTCCTCGACCAGCTGCCAGAGGCGTTCGCGGCGCTTGTCGCTGGCGGGATCTGGCCGACGGGGTGATCTTGGGCGACAGGCATTGTACCCCCCTCAGAGTCGCAGAGAGAGTCCGCTCTGAATAGTCAACCGTGGGACTCCGCTCTCAATAGTCAACCGACCCGGTGGGGGCCTGAAATCAACCGAAGGGGGGGCGGGGGGAGGCAGATTCATGATTATGAGGTTGTCATTATTGCAACAATTATCTAGTCCGAGCATGTCCGGGCCTGCAGCACGACACACTGGACAGGCGCACGTGAAGCCCAGTGTCTGCAGCTTCTCCTGGGAAAACGCGAACAATGCCAACGATCTAGTGGCCCTCAGTCTCCTGCCGCAGCTGCCGTGGTTTGCGAACATCTGTATAGAAGAGGCACAGTTCATCTCCTGATGGGATATCCTTAGACCCGGGCAGCAAGAAATATCTAATCCACCGAGCTCTGCCATATCCGCAAGGGTGCCTCACAAGCGTAGACTTGCAGCAAGCCTCGCCGAGGCAGTTTAAAACTCATTCTGAGGATAAGTCTGCGGTAGTGCTCAGGCGGCAATGTCTCTGCACTTCGAGACTCCAAAGCTTTCGAGGGCCCTGGTTCGATGCATTCCGAAAGAACCAAAGCGAAAGCGCTGTTCGAAGACCCTCTGCAAAAGACCAGTACTTCACAGCGAGTGAAAGCAGGGAATCAAGCCGAAGGATCCTGCGGCTCGCACAGAAGTTAGGAACTTTCCCCAGGCTTTTATGGGAACCATGAGCCTGCCTAGCCGATCGTCCCAGCTCCCTTCACAGTTCGGGCGGCAGGAATGGTTGAAGCGGCTGATCTCCAGATACCTGATGCTTGCGATGCTCGGGGAGGATCGCATGCACAGTGGAAGAAATCCCGCTCATGGTTGGAAGAGTTGGAAAGAACAGTCCCTACTGCATGAGCATCCCTTTTTTGTTGGTGTTCGTTTGCGCTTTCGGCCGTGGCTGTGAAATGATCTCGACTGCGACGTCCCAGCCGTGGGGAACCCCCGAAAGAGCCTCGTCACCTGCTGACTCCGGATTTCTGCTTAAGTTGTTGTCCATTCACCTTCGATGTGACTTCACGGGATGGCAAGCCGTGGCTCGTGCTGCGGGTTCCGACTGGGCTTCCCACCTGCCGTCACCACATCGGGCTGCACTCGAAGTTGTATTGCAAGAACTGTCAACAGAGTGAGATGACAGAAACAAAACTTCCGTGTCAACCGGTCGAAAATAGCAACAATGACCTAAGGTTCCACGAGAAGGGACATCAGTCTCTCTCGAGAGTGATCTGACCGATAGTGATACACCTTCAACATATAATTACGTAAACATTTTAGCAGCAACAGCTGAACTCGTCAGATATCCTGTGAGACAGGCGTCAACCTTAAGCTGAAGATCCAGTTGAGCCATGAAGCAAGCAACGCTCATCCTCTTCGTTTTGGAAGGTGAAGGAGTTTGTGCAGACCACGCCGAGCAGCCTCAGTGGTCGCAGTTACAGTAACGATCCACTGTAAGCTCGAACTTGTGCAGCTGAGAGGGGCGTTTTCTCTGCGTCGTTATGTGCATAGCTGTCCTGCCAAATTGAGCATCTACGGTCTAAAACCTTTCCGTCAGTTCCGCATGGTCCCTGGCTGCCTGCAAGTCCATCATTGCACTCTGCTTGTGAAGCGGCAGCGCATCGAAAAGCTGCTGCACCTGGTCCTGACACGCAACACATCCGCAAGAAACATTCAACCTGACATGCTTGTCGCAGCAGGCAAGCAAAAGATGCTGTAGCCAAATACCACAAACCCCATCCTGATCCTCACCAGACCACTGCAGGAGAGGTTCCTGGCCAGGGTAAAAGCTATGGAAACAGGAAAGTATGCAAACTTGACAAATTGGCCGACAATGACTTTAGGCAGTGTCTGTTGTTGTTAGGTGCTTTTCGGCGTTGGTTCGAGTTTGGTCGTATACGCTGGGTTGACTGCATCACAGCATTACAGGCCGAAAAGGGCGGCCCGTCCGGACACGCCTCAATAGAATGGCCAGGATCGCAAGGGCATGCACGACTAGTCCAAGCCGAGAAAAACAAATATTTGCATGCTACACGTTCAGCAGACAGGGGACCGAAAACCAGGGGACGATGTCACCGGAGAACCAAGAGCGATGCTCGACGGCAGAGCCTGAAGCTGCGAACGCTTTTTGATGCTTTTCGGCGTTTCAGAGATTCGGGTTCCAAGAAGGTCAGTTCCGCCGAGCCATCTCTGGGCAGTCTTTCTCGGTTTCGAGTGAATCCTCTGCGGCCGCTGAGAGCCCAAAAACCTGCAGAGGCCGTTCCCTGGACGCTGGGGGTCGCGCCTCTTAGACAGCTCTACCTCTGCCCTGGCGGCCCTAGGGGGCCCTAGCCCTGGCTGTGGGAAGAGCAAAGATGTCCCCAGGGGTGCCTCTTCAGCCAGAAGCTCCCCAGCAGTCAGAGGTCGAGTAGCGACGGCTCCGGCACCTGGCCGTTCACTCTCTGAAACTTCGAGCTTTCCGAGGCCTTCGCATAAGACAAAATGGCTCCGAACTGCCAAGGGCAAAACTGTGTGCATGGATCGAGATTGCCCGAAGGCAAAACTACAACTTGCAAGAGCCATGAGATCCACTGAAGCCTTTGCCCGGGATGGACTGCACGATGTAGCAGCGACTGCCATGCAGGCTGGTCTATGACTCTGCGAAGTGCAAATCCCCTTCGAAGGACTGCAGCGATCGAGCTTTTTCTCACGTGACTGGCGGCCATGGCCAAACACTGCCTCGCAGCGCCGAACCCCCCGGCATGTTGAGCCGGAGGTCGACAGAAAAACTCTAAGCAATCAAGTTCGGATCCTTTCGATCTCTTCGGTCCGGGAATGATGTTTAAATTCCAGATAAAGACAAAGGCAAGGGATAGAAACGGACGTCCCCCAGCGGCGGCCAGCGGGGTGAAATCGAGCCTGTCGTGCTGGGCCATGTCGAAAGAGTTCGAAACCGGGGCGGCGAGGGCTCAAGAAGCCAACCAAATGTGAAAACACCGAAAGAGGAGCCTGTGTTGACACCCTCGCTGACCACTCTTCTTCCGTCGGACCCAGCAATCGAAAGTACATCGGTCAACGGCACTGTGAGCAGAAATCATGCAAACGTCGCCAAAATGGTAGGCGGCAGGATTACAATACTGTAAAGGCTCGAACCTGTGGAGGGTCTGGTACAACCCATGACCACAACAGGCCAAGATTGACCGACAGGACTGCGGTGAGAGGATCTTTGAAAAGCATTGTCACTGGCCGTAGTCCATTGCTCCCGATTCTACAGAACAACCTGCAGCCCTCTCACCGTCACAAAGACAGCTCGCCGATAGTCACCAGTCCCTTCCGTATAGTAAATGCCGCCTAAACGGCTACAGCAGAAGGAAATCATTTAAGATCTTTTATGGGCTCGATGAGCCCGGTACATCCCATGACCACAACAGGTCAACCAACCGACAGGGTTGCGGTGGGAGGGAAGCATTGAAAACAATTCTCGCGAACCGTCATCCATTGCTCCTGATGCTGTGGCACACACACTGACAGCCCCTCTCACTATCACAAGCCACACGAGCATGCTTCTGTTCAAGCTGCTCAAAGTCAAACTGTGCAAATCCCACATGAGCGAATCTGCAGACATCGCATTCAACGTCATTCAACCCTTCAGAAGCCATCGGTCGTTTGAGCCATTTATTATCGCTTGCTTCTCAGTACCTGCACCAGTCGTCTATAATCCGTTATGGTGTCGCCTGGTCCAGTCCCTGCTGTCGGCCGAAGACGTCCCACGTTGCAACCTCGACTCGCTCACCGTCTGACTCAAAGCCAGACGGAAGAACGAGGGAAGCTCACGGCCGAGTTCGGGCAGCTGCCTGTCAACTGGTCCATCACCAACTGTAGAAGGCCAGGGTCCGCATTCGGGTTCTTTTTGGCGAAGAAGATCATCTGCTGGCAGCTCATCTTT